GTATATACAATTAAAAAAATAAATTTCCCCAAAATAAGTGTTGTAGTATAACCATCAGGACAGCAGTGATGTGTAAACTGAATTTGGCAACAATGCAGTGAATTACAGTGGAGTTATTGAATATTTTTCATAAGAATCATAAAAATTATACATTTATAATTGTATATACAATTAAAAAAATAAATTTCCCCAAAATAAGTGTTGTAGTATAACCATCAGGACAGCAGTGATGTGTAAACTGAATTTGGCAACAATGCAGTGAATTACAGTAAAATTATTGAATATTTTTCATAAGATTCATACAAATTATACATTTATAATTGTATATACAATTTTTTTTTAAATTCCCCAAAATAACTGTTGTAGTATAACCATCAGAACAGCAGTGATGTGTGAACAGAAATTCGCAACAATACAGTGGATTACAGTGAAGTTATTGAATATTTTTCATAATAATCATAAAAATGATACATTTATAATTGTATATACAATTAAAAATATATATTTTTCCCAAAATAAGTGTTGTAGTATAACCAACAGAACAGCAGTGATCTGTAAACTGAATTTGGCAACAATACAGTGATTTACAGTGGAGTTATTGAATATTTTTCATAAGAATCATACAAATTATACATTTATAATTGTATATACAATAAAAAAAAATCCAAAATAAGTGTTGTAGTATAACCATCAGAACAGCAGTGATGTGTAAACTGAATTTGGCAACAATACAGTGATTTACAGTAAAGTTATTGAATATTTTTCATAAGAATCATAAAAATTATACATTTATAATTGTATATACAATTAATTATTTATTTATTTTTCAAAATAAGTGTTGTAGTATAACCAACAGAACAGCAGTGATGTGTAAACTGAATTTGGCAACAATACAGTGGATTACAGTGGAGTTATTGAATATTTTTCATAAGAATCATAAAATTTATACATTTATAATTGTATATACAATAAAAAAAACTTTTTTTTTCAAAATAAGTGTTGTAGTATAACCATCAGGACAGCAGTGATGTGTAAACTGAATTTGGCAACAATACAGTGTATTACAGTGAAGTTATTGAATATTTTTCATAAGAATCATAAAAATTATACATTTATAATTGTATATACAATTAAAAAAATAAATTTCCCCAAAATAAGTGTTGTAGTATAACCATCAGGACAGCAGTGATGTGTAAACTGAATTTGGCAACAATGCAGTGAATTACAGTAAAATTATTGAATATTTTTCATAAGATTCATACAAATTATACATTTATAATTGTATATACAATTTTTTTTTTTTTAATTCCCCAAAATAAGTGTTGTAGTATAACCATCAGAACAGCAGTGATGTGTGAACAGAAATTGGCAACAATACAGTGGATTACAGTGAAGTTATTGAATATTTTTCATAAGAATCATACAAATTATACATTTATAATTGTATATACAATTAAAAATATATATTTTTCCCAAAATAAGTGTTGTAGTATAACCAACAGAACAGCAGTGATCTGTAAACTGAATTTGGCAACAATACAGTGAATTACAGTGAAGTTATTGAATATTTTTCATAAGAATCATACAAATTATACATTTATAATTGTATATACAATAAAAAAAAAAATCCAAAATAAGTGTTGTAGTATAACCATCAGGGCAGCAGTGATGTGTAAACTGAATTTGGCATCAATACAGTGTATTACAGTGGAGTTATTGAATATTTTTCATAATAATCATAAAATTGATACATTTATTTTTGTATATACAATTAAAAAAATATTTTTCCCAAAATAAGTGTTGTAGTATAACCATCAGGACAGCAGTGATGTGTAAACAGAATTTGGCAACAATACAGTGTATTACAGTGAAGTTATTGAATATTTTTCATAAGAATCATAAAAATTACACATTTATAATTGTATATACAAAAAAAATTATATTTTTTTCCCAAAATAATGGTTGTAGTATAACCATCAGGGCCCGTATGTATAAAACTTCTAAGAAATGATCTTAAGAATAGTCTTAAGCTTTGACTTAAGTGTAAAAAAATACTTAGTAAAGAGTAGGACTTTTCTAAGAGTAGGAGACTTTTATAAAGCAGCTAAAAGCAACTTTCAGTAAAGTATAAGACTGATTCTTAAAGGAACACTCTGACTTTTTGGGACTTTAGCCTATTCACCTTATCCCCCAGAGTTAGATAAGTCCATACATACCTTTTTCATCTCCGTGCGTGCTATAAGGACTACAATGATGTGAACCCAAAATGGCCGCCCTCAACCTCTGAATCAGCCAATAGTGAGCCTGCAAGGGTGAGGTCACAGCAGCATGACACCAATTATTTAATGTAATTATAATAAAATAATTTAATTAAGACACTGAAACTTTAATATTTAAATGTATTTTTTTAAATGGCTTTGCATTGTGCAAAATTATCACAACTTAGTATTGAAGGAAAATTGTCAGATTCACCCTTTATTCAAATAGTATTAAAAATGTGTTCAATATTTTGTAAGCGTAGTGTAGTTGTGCCTGCAGTCAATTGTTTATTTGTGATAACACAATGAAACATTCCAAATTGACATAATTTTTAGCTAAGCTGTCATACAAATAAATTATGAACAGGTGAAAAAACAAGAGAGGAAAATCAAATATTAATAAATGATTATGTTGCAGACAATATATGATTTTTTTTCTCCTGTGAGCTTTTTAATTGTAATATCTTTATTGTCCACCAAGGTGGAAAATTGTCTTTGGCTCACCAGCCATTAAAATAAATATCATCACAGGTGCACTGCTGCATTTCTCCAGTCGCCAAAAATATAATTATTACTTTAATTTCATTGCTATGAAACTTTTTAAAGGTAAGTTACAAAAAGAATACCTTGATTAAACTTTTTTTTTTTATTGTTTGATCAACTAATTTAACTACAATACATCATATTTTCGTTGAAAAGTGCATGGCCTAACCTCTCTGCTGCCATCTTGTTACTCCTAACTAGGTTAGGAGACCTCTCCAGCTCTCTTAAATAATTTAGGAGCTAAGACCAAGTCTTAGCACTTAGGAACTTTTATGAATCACACTTATTCTTAAGTTTAGGAATAAGAGTAAAATTATGTAATTCTTTGAATTTTGACAGACTTGAGAATAAAATTTTACTCTGAGTGGCTTTATACATACGGGCCCAGGACAGCAGTGATGTGTAAACTGATTTTGGCAACAATACAGTGATTTACAGTTAAGTTATTGAATATTAATATCATAAATATCATATCATAAATATCATTAATATCATAAAAATGATATATTTACTATGTGTATACAGTTAAAAAAAAAATCCCAAAATAAGTGTTGTAGTATAACCAACAGGACAGCAGTGATGTGTAAACTGAATTTGGCAACAATACAGTGTATTACAGTTAAGTTATTGAATATTTTTCATAAGAATCATGAAAATTATACATTTATAATTGTATATACAATTAAAAAAAATGTTTTCCCCAAAATAAGTGTTGTAGTATAACCATCAGAACAGCAGTGATGTGTAAACAGAATTTGGCAACAAGTCAGTGTATTACAGTGAAGTTATTGAATATTTTCCATAAATATGAATCATAAAAATTATGCAAAAATATTTTCCCCCCAGAATAAGTGTTGTAGTATAACTATTAGGACAGCAGTGATGTGTAAACTGAATTTGGTGACACTGTAGTGTGTTACAGTGAAGTTATTGACTTTTTTCGTAGTAACGCTTTTCGGGGTTTGCACTTTGGGGGCTGTTTACACCTGGCCACTTCATGCGTTTTCTGTGATCGGATAGCTATCCGATCGTGAAAAGACCAGGTGTAAATGCCCTCTGAAACGCATTCGAGACGGATTTAAATCCGATCACTCAAACCACTTCAGGAGGTGGTCTGGGCCGCATTCCAGACGAAACTGGACAAGTGTAAATGCATCTGGTTGTTGAAACCACATATGTAAATTTCACTCCTCACAAAAATGCTAAAAAATAAACGTGTGAGAGCGTGTTATATAGGCTATATGTCATGTTATAGTCAGATATGACGTCGCTTCTGCAACACGCATTACCGCAGATGAGCAGCTGAGCATCTATTCATCAAGCCAACGTGCAAACTATCGCAAATCAAAGTGAAAGTAAGTCGCAGACGCTTAACACACTAATCATCTTCATTAAAAGTAAAGAAACGAAATGATCTTACCAGGGCTGTTGCCGCTCTCTCTTATTGCGGTCTTTGATTTTGAAATTAGCTGATGATCAATAAAATGCTCATATCTGTTGCTTTCGGTGCACTCCATTAAATCTGCATATAGCGCGGGAATTGAAGATCGGATTTATATCCGTTTTGCAAAAACACATTTATGTGACCAGGTGTAAATGGAATCGTTTTGATAAATCAGATAGCTATCCGATCTGAGAAAACGCATGAAGTGGCCAGGTGTAAACAGCCCCTTGCAGACGGTCCCTTCGGATCTGTCTCACAGCCGCCTGCGCATAGAGATCAATGTATTTTATCCACTGCGAAGGAAAGCTCGTTTCGGGGAAAAATAGGTTGTAGCTGCTTGTCTACATTACTACGATTAAAAAGAGGTGTCATTTGTGTAGTAACAACGTTTAGCTGAGAAGTTATTGACCCGGGAAGTTCGAATCTGTGAATGTATTGCCAAATTTACTTAACTCCTATAGAGAAAAAAAAAACATTAGTCAAAGAAATACACAACTCGCAAAGACAACGAGTTTAAATTAAAAGGATAACAGAGTAAAGTATACAAAAACTCTCGAAACATGGCATCTTATATCGTCTCTCGCAGAGAGTGCTATAGCCTACCAGGAGTGTTCATTTAACACGGGTGATTTTGCTGTGTACATAACGAAACTATAGCACTCTGGGCTGTCTTATAAAAAGGAAGGAAGTTCAGAAGAGTTCAGGAGAGGCGTGTCCACAGACTAGGCTACTTTCGATCTGTCGTGTAGAAATGAATGTTACAAATAAATATTCGTGACAAGCGTGATATCTTCACCGTGAACACTATGTCGACTTCAATGAAGGTAAGAACAAGACTGGACCGTAACTTACTGATCACTTTTCTGACATGAAGCCTCAGTCACGATTAGTTGCTCACTAACACGATCGATATTTGTTAATGTTTTTCTAAACCGCGACTAGACGCGCAACATAATGTGTTTTATTATTGTTACTATTTTTTGCTGAGTATTGGATATAGATTCTGTTGAATCTATTCATCAAAAAGATTGAGTCATGGGTAGAAACGATATGTGCCAGTAAGCGGCAATTTTATTTATTTTTTGTGTTATGAGTGATTGATTTTATTAGCTTAAAGTCACCATGAAATCTCAATTCTTGTTTCTTGATGTGTTTTTCGGCGCGAGAGCAACCTGTCACTCACGTGACGTCACGTGAGATCAGCAAAAAATTCCCGACGGACAATTGGCCTGTTCGACTTCATGCAGCGCTGCGAATCTAACAAATCTGTATTTTTATAACAGTAAAAACTCATTTCAGGAATGTAGTCACGAATCGCAATGTTACCTATATTGTGTCATCTTTAGCAAATTAAAACTGGTTAAAAACATACACATTGGTATTTAAATATGCCTACTATAGGCTTATGTTGTGTTTATCACTTTATTCTTGTACAAACAGATGCTGTATTAAGTAGTAGCTACATAAAGTATTGAATGAAAATGTCTCTGAAATATGTTTCACCTCCCCGATCGTTACGACCACACCTAAAATGAACAAAAGTCCCGCCAGAATTTTTCTCATCTGATAAGCCGTTTCACTTCGACAAACATCACAATAACAACTTCAGTTTCATGCTAACTTCAATAATTTCTTGTTAATGAACAACATCCATGCTCATTCCCTATCCTGAGTTACGAGTGATTCTAAACTGACTGGTTCAGTAAAGGCATATTACTTTGAACTATATTTATTTTATATTTATTTTATCCCCACCTTTATCCGTAATGCAGAATCCCTGACAACATTCAAGACAGCTGAAAACACATCTCTTCTGTGAGCACTTAACCTCATAATTTTTTTTTTAAATAAATGATTTCCTTTAAATCCTCCCTTGTCTGGCTTCTGCTACTCTGAGCAATGCCTGAACTTTCTATTTTGAGCACTTCTTGTGTTGTTTTTGCCTGTTCACGATGACTCGCTTGCTTTAGTCCAATCCAATCATTTATACGTTCTATAAAAGTTTACCTCAGTTGTGGGGTAAGATGGCCTCTTTTAATAATTTTATGTTTTGTTCTAACAACTAAGTAAGCAAATGTTCTATTTATTTCCTATTATAACACATTGGCTGAAGCATCACCATCCTGCACATGCTAAACTTATATCTAAATATGTTACAATTTAAAAGTAAATGCACATTGTTCTTCAGGGGGAATCTTCCCATGTCTGCCTAACCTTATCTAACCTGTATAACACAGGCGATGTGTGACACACACAACTGAGTCAGAGTGAGTAAAACCAGCGGTGAACAGTAACGGACAGTTGCAAAACTACATTTCTTCAGTAGCATGTCGGTAGTTCAGCTTTAAAGAAGTGTAGCATTTCCAGTAACAAACTACTTTTCCTACTAGAGCTGAACGTGACTAAACCATCAGGAAGAGCTGAGGGAATAATCAAACTCTCACCTCGAATGGTTAAGATTTGTGCTTTATTAGCATGACAAATACTCACACTATACCTTCATATTTCCTCACAGCGTTTACAGCTGACTTACATACAGATAGAATAGAAAGAATACAGTGTAAAAAAGGAAGTTTCACCTAAAGAAAAATGGAAATACTACAAATAAAAAAAAGAGTAATCCATATTCTTGCATTCTCCTGATAAGAAGAGCAGTTATTGTATGTGTGTGTTGTCTTGTATTTGTGTATATGTGGTGGTGCTGCTACAACACAGGTTTGTCGTGATTGCAGTGTAGATCTTTCTTCCTGTGACGGCCACATTTTCCTGTGTGAGTTTCAAGGGCCTGGTTGTGTGTGTGAGCTGAGTTTGCATCTGGTTTTAGGTTTATTTTTTATCTGTCACAGTGTAGTCTGCAATGGTGAACTGTGGTCCATCAACAAACCGATTATTTTACTTGTACTTATTTATTTACAGAGTATTTTTCTAATATATTGTGGTGAACACGTGGAAACTGTATCAATAACAGTGCATGTATGCATATACATTAGCCGAGCTCGAGCGTGAATGACTGATGTAACATAAACGCTGGTAAAACAAATCTTTCTCCATGCTTAATCTTTCCTCAAAGTAGTGAGAACGACAGACAATCTGCATTAATAGACACAGTTTTAGGTAATAGTGGCCCACACCTGATTAGCAGAAGTATTTCAGTAAGACAGTAATAATGTGAGTTAGCCAGAAGCAGGAGACCTACACAATATAAAACTCAAAACTAAGTATTTTGAACACCATCTTTCAGGAGCAAGCGGTTTGCGAATCCTGCATTGAACTCAGAGATTTTAGAAGTCATCAGTAAAATAAAGGGAACACAGCAAAAGTTAAGGATTATACTGCTCTGCTGTAATATTGTGGTAAAGATTAATTTTAACCACTGATTCTTCACATGCTCGTCCTTGGGCAGGGAAAAAAAAACTACTCAGTTACTATCGTAACCGAGTATTGCGTAGCTATACCGACTGTAAAAAAAGAGCTAAACGCAGTGGGGAAACTCTAGCCTGGCAAACCAGACCTACATCAAGATGTTAGGCCTGGGAACTCACAATTGGCATACCTCAATCCGAGGGGCGGGATAAACAGTTGTCTTTCAATATCCCTCGGCATGCAATAGGACAGCGCTACAACCAACCAGAGCAACGAACGGCTGTGGCTGAGTGAGTCCCATGCGTTTTTCCACCAGTGAACCAGCTAGTTGGTATATTAAACTTTTGCCGTATCCGATCGTCAAAACTCTGAACACATCTTCCTTTTTTAGGAATGACTTAAGTGACGTTCTTCTTAACTCCAAGTCATCCAGAGTCGCGGCCAAAGCCGATTCGAAAGACCGCTGTTCGCCAGCAGCATCTTCTTTGTTTTCAAGCAGAGGGAAATCACCTATGGAAATCACGTAGAACCGTCATAACTCTGCCGTCATTATGTTAAGCCCGCCCACCAACTCTACACGATCTGATTGGCCGGACCAGTTTTTGGTTTTTCCAGCTCAAAAGTCTATGGAGAGTTTCTAGACCACACTTTGCTGCAAAATAATTTTTGCTGCCGCTAGGGTGCGTCTAGATTTCTAGGCTAGGGAAACTCCTTTTCCTCGATTTACTGAAGCCTATATGTAAAACGCATTTGCAGCTGCACAGCTAGCACAGTGAGTGTCTGGCTCGCTCATTGGCTGTGCTGCGGCAACTGGACATCCAATGGCGCGGGCGCCTCTGTCAGAGCCCGCCAAGGGGGCGTGGCCTTAGCCTATAATAGTCAAGGGGGTAATCCACCAGCCGGAAACTGAAGTCTCCCCGGGGGCCGCCATTGGCTAACAAGCCTTCACCTGCTGTTAGCAGTCCATTGACTCCCATTCATTTTGGCGTCACTTTGACAGCGAATAACTTTATATCTGAGGCGTTTAAAGACTCCATTTGTCCATTGTTTATTTCTAAAGAAACACGACAATGTATAAAAGGCTTCATTACATTGTATCTTACGTTATGGCCCAGTAGAAGCAGTTTTTGCAAAAATAGGCTAACGATTGCGTCATAACACGCGACTCTCTGTCGCACAGTAGAGAATTTACCGTATAGACAGATGTAGAAGCTCGCGCGCAATCGGGGGGACTTGGAGGCATAAAGTCAAGGGAGAAGCCCATAGAGAGTCATAAAGTTGATCCTGCTGCGAGCTCATGGACAGCTAATACTCACAATCTCCGGCTCTGTGAGATTCGGAAGGGAATGATTCAGATTACTTTTGGCACAGCTACTAGAAGACGTACAACTGTCAGACAGATTGGTCACGTCACATCTACGTCGTCAATCTCGGTTTGAGCCTGTGCAGTGCGCTTGGCAATCAGGAAGTGAGTGCTTCTAATTGACTTCACTTTTCTCCGTTGAAGTCTATGGGGTCTCTGCGTCCATTTCTTTTACTGTCTATGATAATAGTCCCCCGAACTCACCATTATAGCAGGTGTAACGACTGAAGCGACAACTCGCCAGGTTACTATAGTGCGGCCGGCTACGCAATACTCGTTCCCTTCTTTCAGTGAACTGTCGAACGGTCACTGGATGTGAAGTTGCCGCAGGACAGCCAATGAGCGAGCCAGACGCTCAATGTGCGAGCTGTACAGCTGCAAATGCGTTTTACATATAGGCTTCAGTAAATCGAGGAAAAGGAGTTTCTCCACTGCGTATAGCTACGCAATATGAAGTAACCGTTCGAAAGGGAACTGGCTTTACCTTCACATTGTAGAGCACAGCGCCGTCTTCTCGACATGATGCTATCCAGTGTCCACAGGAATCAGCTGCAGTGTTTGAGAGGGTTTAGGTTTTCCTTGGTGTCTGTGCGTGCAATACGTGGACGGGCAATATGCTAATGTTTCGTCTTGACGTCACAACGAAACGGCTTATGATTCATTTAATTGACTCAAGAGTCGGGCTTTACCCAAATCACGGAAGTGACCTTGACGTCCGGGTTAGCGGTAGCATAAGCCATAAGGCAAGTGCTATTTAAATAAACTCCTGATGCACTTAAAAACTTTCCAATGCCTCGTTTTATGAGTACAGAACCTGTTTGTACTACTGTAGAAGTTTGGTACCATTCCGGGCATTATTGGTGGGGTAATTTACGAGATACAACATTCGGATCCATTAGCGGCTGATATCTCTAAATAAGCTCTAACTTTAATAATGTTCGACCAAGGGAAAAAAGGCTTCTGGAGGGGTTTTTGGCTCGAGTTCATGGTGCAAAGGACCCTAGGTTGAAATTACTCCGAACCATCCCTTTAAATGTTGACACATCAGCTTTACGCATGCAATAGCACCACTGTGTCCCACAGAGGCTTGTTTCTCTGAGCAGGAGCTGGAGTTTCAGCGGATGCTGTTACAAGTACAGGAGTCTCTCACTGCTGATGAAGTGCAGGACATGGTGTTCCTGTGCTCAGATCACATCGCTGCTAAAGACCTCAGCACTGTGAGCGCAGGCAGACAACTCTTCCTTCTTCTGGAGAACCGGGACCTGCTGTCGTCGGAGGACCCATGGCTGCTTCTGGAGCTGCTCAGGATCATGAAACAGAACAGCCTGATCCGCAATCTGCACTTTGATGCTTTCACGCAAACCGACTTCTCAACATTTCCTCAGCGTGTCTCCCGGTACAGGTGAGGATGCGGCTGTTCGTAATAGACCTTATTCAGAGCAGCGCCATGACAGGTATATACAGTAAGCGAGGCTGTGAGGGATAGACATACTGTGTTTTCAATGCTGTAAAAAGCTGTTTAAATTTACACTTACAATTTTCCACCGCTCATGTTGTCTGGAGTTTCTTTGTCTACTGAAATTTCTTTGAAAGATATTTTTGCTGCGTTTCTACGAATAAAAGTACAACCCACTGAAGAGATGTATGTCTGTCCCTCGCAGTCTCGCTTTCGTTTACATTAAAAATCAAAGATGGCAATGATGTGAATGAGGTCTATAGAGACGTGTTTGTTGAAAGGGTGTGTGTTCAGATCTCACATTCAGGCATGTTGACCAGGCAAATATCTACTATCCAAAAGGCACTGGTATTATATAAAGGGATAGTTCACCCAAAAATGAAAATTATCCCATGATTTACTCACCCTCAAGCCATCCTAGAACACAATCAGAGTTATGTTAAAAAAATATCTTTGAAATAATGAACAGTGTTTATTTTTCTGCATTTCAGAAAGTTGTTGTACGAGGTGTCAGAATCCATCTGTGACCAGGACCTGAAAAACATTAAATTCCTCCTCATCAAAACACTATCGCGCAGAAAACTGGAGAAGGAAATGGTGAGAGACGCCATCACGGCATCAGTGACGTCACATTTCTGCATGTGGGGTTTGACTAAACCTTCTTTAAACACGTGTCTTTTAGTCTGACGGCACATTTCTGCATGTGGGGTTTGACTAAACCTTCTTTAAACACGTGTCTTTTAGTCTGACGGCACATTTCTGCATGTGGGGTTTGACTAAACCTTCTTTAAACACGTGTCTTTTAGTCTGACGGCACATTTCTGCATGTGGGGTTTGACTAAACCTTCTTTAAACACGTGTCTTTTAGTCTGACGTCACATTTCTGCATGTGGGGTTTGACTAAACCTTCTTTAAACACGTGTCTTTTAGTCTGACGTCACATTTCTGCATGTGGGGTTTGACTAAACCTTCTTTAAACACGTGTCTTTTAGTCTGACGGCACATTTCTGCATGTGGGGTTTGACTAAACCTTCTTTAAACACGTGTCTTTTAGTCTGACGTCACATTTCTGCATGTGGGGTTTGACTAAACCTTCTGTAAACACTTGTCTTTTAGTCTGACGTCACATTTCTGCATGTGGGGTTTGACTAAACCTTCTTTAAACACGTGTCTTTTAGTCTGACGTCACATTTCCGCATGTGGGGTTTGACTAAACCTTCTTTAAACACGTGTCTTTTAGTCTGACGTCACATTTCCGCATGTGGGGTTTGACTAAACCTTCTTTAAACACGTGTCTTTTAGTCTGACGGCACATTTCCGCATGTGGGGTTTGACTAAACCTTCTTTAAACACGTGTCTTTTAGTCTGACGTCACATTTCTGCATGTGGGGTTTGACTAAACCTTCTGTAAACACTTGTCTTTTAGTCTGACGTCACATTTCTGCATGTGGGGTTTGACTAAACCTTCTGTAAACACTTGTCTTTTAGTCTGACGTCACATTTCTGCATGTGGGGTTTGACTAAACCTTCTGTAAACACGTGTCTTTTAGTCTGACGTCACATTTCTGCATGTGGGGTTTGACTAAACCTTCTGTAAACACTTGTCTTTTAGTCTGACGTCACATTTCTGCATGTGGGGTTTGACTAAACCTTCTGTAAACACGTGTCTTTTAGTCTGACGTCACATTTCCGCATGTGGGGTTTGACTAAACCTTCTTTAAACACGTGTCTTTTAGTCTGACGGCACATTTCCGCATGTGGGGTTTGACTAAACCTTCTTTAAACACGTGTCTTTTAGTCTGACGTCACATTTCTGCATGTGGGGTTTGACTAAACCTTCTGTAAACACGTGTCTTTTAGTCTGACGTCACATTTCTGCATGTGGGGTTTGACTAAACCTTCTGTAAACACGTGTCTTTTAGTCTGACGTCACATTTCTGCATGTGGGGTTTGACTAAACCTTCTGTAAACACTTGTCTTTTAGTCTGACGTCACATTTCTGCATGTGGGGTTTGACTAAACCTTCTTTAAACACGTGTCTTTTAGTCTGACGGCACATTTCTGCATGTGGGGTTTGACTAAACCTTCTGTAAACACTTGTCTTTTAGTCTGACGTCACATTTCTGCATGTGGGGTTTGACTAAACCTTCTTTAAACACGTGTCTTTTAGTCTGACGTCACATTTCTGCATGTGGGGTTTGACTAAACCTTCTTTAAACACGTGTCTTTTAGTCTGACGTCACATTTCTGCATGTGGGGTTTGACTAAACCTTCTGTAAACACTTGTCTTTTAGTCTGACGTCACATTTCTGCATGTGGGGTTTGACTAAACCTTCTGTAAACACGTGTCTTTTAGTCTGACGTCACATTTCTGCATGTGGGGTTTGACTAAACCTTCTTTAAACACGTGTCTTTTAGTCTGACGTCACATTTCTGCATGTGGGGTTTGACTAAACCTTCTTTAAACACGTGTCTTTTAGTCTGACGTCACATTTCTGCATGTGGGGTTTGACTAAACCTTTTTTAAACACGTGTCTTTTAGTCTGACGTCACATTTCTGCATGTGGGGTTTGACTAAACCTTCTTTAAACACGTGTCTTTTAGTCTGACGTCACATTTCTGCATGTGGGGTTTGACTAAACCTTCTTTAAACACGTGTCTTTTAGTCTGACGGCACATTTCTGCATGTGGGGTTTGACTAAACCTTCTTTAAACACGTGTCTTTTAGTCTGACGGCACATTTCTGCATGTGGGGTTTGACTAAACCTTCTGTAAACACGTGTCTTTTAGTCTGACGGCACATTTCTGCATGTGGGGTTTGACTAAACCTTCTTTAAACACGTGTCTTTTAGTCTGACGTCACATTTCTGCATGTGGGGTTTGACTAAACCTTCTGTAAACACGTGTCTTTTAGTCTGACGGCACATTTCTGCATGTGGGGTTTGACTAAACCTTCTGTAAACACTTGTCTTTTAGTCTGACGTCACATTTCTGCATGTGGGGTTTGACTAAACCTTCTTTAAACACGTGTCTTTTAGTCTGACGGCACATTTCTGCATGTGGGGTTTGACTAAACCTTCTTTAAACACGTGTCTTTTAGTCTGACGTCACATTTCTGCATGTGGGGTTTGACTAAACCTTCTTTAAACACGTGTCTTTTAGTCTGACGTCACATTTCTGCATGTGGGGTTTGACTAAACCTTCTGTAAACACGTGTCTTTTAGTCTGACGTCACATTTCTGCATGTGGGGTTTGACTAAACCTTCTTTAAACACGTGTGTTTAAGTCTGACGGCACATTTCTGCATGTGGGGTTTGACTAAACCTTCTTTAAACACGTGTCTTTTAGTCTGACGGCACATTTCTGCATGTGGGGTTTGACTAAACCTTCTGTAAACACGTGTCTTTTAGTCTGACGTCACATTTCTGCATGTGGGGTTTGACTAAACCTTCTGTAAACACGTGTCTTTTAGTCTGACGGCACATTTCTGCATGTGGGGTTTGACTAAACCTTCTGTAAACACTTGTCTTTTAGTCTGACGTCACATTTCTGCATGTGGGGTTTGACTAAACCTTCTTTAAACACGTGTCTTTTAGTCTGACGGCACATTTCTGCATGTGGGGTTTGACTAAACCTTCTTTAAACACGTGTCTTTTAGTCTGACGTCACATTTCTGCATGTGGGGTTTGACTAAACCTTCTTTAAACACGTGTCTTTTAGTCTGACGTCACATTTCTGCATGTGGGGTTTGACTAAACCTTCTGTAAACACGTGTCTTTTAGTCTGACGTCACATTTCTGCATGTGGGGTTTGACTAAACCTTCTTTAAACACGTGTGTTTAAGTCTGACGGCACATTTCTGCATGTGGGGTTTGACTAAACCTTCTTTAAACACGTGTCTTTTAGTCTGACGTCACATTTCTGCATGTGGGGTTTGACTAAACCTTCTTTAAACACGTGTCTTTTAGTCTGACGTCACATTTCTGCATGTGGGGTTTGACTAAACCTTCTGTAAACACGTGTCTTTTAGTCTGACGTCACATTTCTGCATGTGGGGTTTGACTAAACCTTCTGTAAACACGTGTCTTTTAGTCTGACGTCACATTTCTGCATGTGGGGTTTGACTAAACCTTCTGTAAACACGTGTCTTTTAGTCTGACGTCACATTTCTGCATGTGGGGTTTGACTAAACCTTCTGTAAACACTTGTCTTTTAGTCTGACGTCACATTTCTGCATGTGGGGTTTGACTAAACCTTCTTTAAACACGTGTCTTTTAGTCTGACGGCACATTTCTGCATGTGGGGTTTGACTAAACCTTCTTTAAACACGTGTCTTTTAGTCTGACGTCACATTTCTGCATGTGGGGTTTGACTAAACCTTCTGTAAACACTTGTCTTTTAGTCTGACGTCACATTTCTGCATGTGGGGTTTGACTAAACCTTCTTTAAACACGTGTCTTTTAGTCTGACGTCACATTTCTGCATGTGGGGTTTGACTAAACCTTCTTTAAACACGTGTCTTTTAGTCTGACGTCACATTTCTGCATGTGGGGTTTGACTAAACCTTCTGTAAACACTTGTCTTTTAGTCTGACGTCACATTTCTGCATGTGGGGTTTGACTAAACCTTCTGTAAACACGTGTCTTTTAGTCTGACGTCACATTTCTGCATGTGGGGTTTGACTAAACCTTCTTTAAACACGTGTCTTTTAGTCTGACGTCACATTTCTGCATGTGGGGTTTGACTAAACCTTCTTTAAACACGTGTCTTTTAGTCTGACGTCACATTTCTGCATGTGGGGTTTGACTAAACCTTCTTTAAACACGTGTCTTTTAGTCTGACGTCACATTTCTGCATGTGGGGTTTGACTAAACCTTCTTTAAACACGTGTCTTTTAGTCTGACGTCACATTTCTGCATGTGGGGTTTGACTAAACCTTCTTTAAACACGTGTCTTTTAGTCTGACGTCACATTTCTGCATGTGGGGTTTGACTAAACCTTCTTTAAACACGTGTGTTTAAGTCTGACGGCACATTTCTGCATGTGGGGTTTGACTAAACCTTCTTTAAACACGTGTGTTTAAGTCTGACGGCACATTTCTGCATGTGGGGTTTGACTAAACCTTCTTTAAACACGTGTCTTTTAGTCTGACGTCACATTTCTGCATGTGGGGTTTGACTAAACCTTCTTTAAACACGTGTCTTTTAGTCTGACGTCACATTTCTGCATGTGGGGTTTGACTAAACCTTCTTTAAACACGTGTCTTTTAGTCTGACGGCACATTTCTGCATGTGGGGTTTGACTAAACCTTCTTTAAACACGTGTGTTTAAGTCTGACGGCACATTTCTGCATGTGGGGTTTGACTAAACCTTCTTTAAACACGTGTCTTTTAGTCTGACGGCACATTTCTGCATGTGGGGTTTGACTAAACCTTCTGTAAACACGTGTCTTTTAGTCTGACATCACATTTCTGCATGTGGGGTTTGACTAAACCTTCTGTAAACACGTGTCTTTTAGTCTGACGGCACATTTCTGCATGTGGGGTTTGACTAAACCTTCTGTAAACACTTGTCTTTTAGTCTGACGTCACATTTCTGCATGTGGGGTTTGACTAAACCTTCTTTAAACACGTGTCTTTTAGTCTGACGGCACATTTCTGCATGTGGGGTTTGACTAAACCTTCTGTAAACACTTGTCTTTTAGTCTGACGTCACATTTCTGCATGTGGGGTTTGACTAAACCTTCTTTAAACACGTGTCTTTTAGTCTGACGTCACATTTCTGCATGTGGGGTTTGACTAAACCTTCTTTAAACACGTGTCTTTTAGTCTGACGTCACATTTCTGCATGTGGGGTTTGACTAAACCTTCTTTAAACACGTGTCTTTTAGTCTGACGTCACATTTCTGCATGTGGGGTTTGACTAAACCTTCTGTTAACACTTGTCTTTTAGTCTGACGTCACATTTCTGCATGTGGGGTTTGACTAAACCTTCTGTAAACACGTGTCTTTTAGTCTGACGTCACATTTCTGCATGTGGGGTTTGACTAAACCTTCTTTAAACACGTGTCTTTTAGTCTGACGTCACATTTCTGCATGTGGGGTTTGACTAAACCTTCTTTAAACACGTGTCTTTTAGTCTGACGTCACATTTCTGCATGTGGGGTTTGACTAAACCTTCTTTAAACACGTGTCTTTTAGTCTGACGGCACATTTCTGCATGTGGGGTTTGACTAAACCTTCTTTAAACACGTGTCTTTTAGTCTGACGTCACATTTCTGCATGTGGGGTTTGACTAAACCTTCTGTAAACACGTGTCTTTTAGTCTGACGGCACATTTCTGCATGTGGGGTTTGACTAAACCTTCTTTAAACACGTGTCTTTTAGTCTGACGGCACATTTCTGCATGTGGGGTTTGACTAAACCTTCTGTAAACACGTGTCTTTTAGTCTGACGTCACATTTCTGCATGTGGGGTTTGACTAAACCTTCTGTAAACACGTGTCTTTTAGTCTGACGGCACATTTCTGCATGTGGGGTTTGACTAAACCTTCTTTAAACACGTGTCTTTTAGTCTGACGGCACATTTCTGCATGTGGGGTTTGACTAAACCTTCTGTAAACACGTGTCTTTTAGTCTGACGTCACATTTCTGCATGTGGGGTTTGACTAAACCTTCTGTAAACACGTGTCTTTTAGTCTGACGGCACATTTCTGCATGTGGGGTTTGACTAAACCTTCTGTAAACACTTGTCTTTTAGTCTGACGTCACATTTCTGCATGTGGGGTTTGACTAAACCTTCTGTAAACACTTGTCTTTTAGTCTGACGTCACATTTCTGCATGTGGGGTTTGACTAAACCTTCTTTAAACACGTGTCTTTTAGTCTGACGGCACATTTCTGCATGTGGGGTTTGACTAAACCTTCTTTAAACACGTGTCTTTTAGTCTGACGTCACATTTCTGCATGTGGGGTTTGACTAAACCTTCTTTAAACACGTGTCTTTTAGTCTGACGGCACATTTCTGCATGTGGGGTTTGACTAAACCTTCTTTAAACACGTGTCTTTTAGTCTGACGGCACATTTCTGCATGTGGGGTTTGACTAAACCTTCTTTAAACACGTGTCTTTTAGTCTGACGGCACATTTCTGCATGTGGGGTTTGACTAAACCTTCTGTAAACACGTGTCTTTTAGTCTGACGGCACATTTCCGCATGTGGGGTTTGACTAAACCTTCTTTAAACACGTGTCTTTTAGTCTGACGGCACATTTCTGCATGTGGGGTTTGACTAAACCTTCTGTAAACACTTGTCTTTTAGTCTGACGTCACATTTCTGCATGTGGGGTTTGACTAAACCTTCTTTAAACACGTGTCTTTTAGTCTGACGTCACATTTCTGCATGTGGGGTTTGACTAAACCTTCTGTAAACACGTGTCTTTTAGTCTGACGTCACATTTCTGCATGTGGGGTTTGACTAAACCTTCTGTAAACACTTGTCTTTTAGTCTGACGTCACATTTCTGCATGTGGGGTTTGACTAAACCTTCTTTAAACACGTGTCTTTTAGTCTGACGTCACATTTCTGCATGTGGGGTTTGACTAAACCTTCTTTAAACACGTGTCTTTTAGTCTGACGTCACATTTCTGCATGTGGGGTTTGACTAAACCTTCTTTAAACACGTGTCTTTTAGTCTGACGGCACATTTCTGCATGTGGGGTTTGACTAAACCTTCTTTAAACACGTGTCTTTTAGTCTGACGGCACATTTCTGCATGTGGGGTTTGACTAAACCTTCTTTAAACACGTGTCTTTTAGTCTGACGGCACATTTCTGCATGTGGGGTTTGACTAAACCTTCTTTAAACACGTGTCTTTTAGTCTGACGTCACATTTCTGCATGTGGGGTTTGACTAAACCTTCTGTAAACACGTGTCTTTTAGTCTGACGGCACATTTCCGCATGTGGGGTTTGACTAAACCTTCTTTAAACACGTGTCTTTTAGTCTGACGGCACATTTCTGCATGTGGGGTTTGACTAAACCTTCTTTAAACACGTGTCTTTTAGTCTGACGGCACATTTCTGCATGTGGGGTTTGACTAAACCTTCTTTAAACACGTGTCTTTTAGTCTGACGGCACATTTCTGCATGTGGGGTTTGACTAAACCTTCTTTAAACACGTGTCTTTTAGTCTGACGGCACATTTCTGCATGTGGGGTTTGACTAAACCTTCTTTAAACACGTGTCTTTTAGTCTGACGGCACATTTCTGCATGTCTTTTAGACGCTGCTGCAGTTGTTTTTGGAGATGGAGAAGGAAGACCTTTTAAATGAAGACAATTTGGACGTTCTGCGGGAAATTATTTCCAAGATCCATCCCGGTTTAGAAAAAAGAGTTATTCAATACAAAACAGAGAGTTGTGAGTGTGACTGTTTTATTATTTAATGATGTGATGTGTGAAATATATATATATGATTTATTAATTTGCCTCTCATATGTAAAATAAGTTAAACTACTGTAAATCAAGACTGTGAGGAGATTAACCCTCTGGGGTTTGAGGAGTTTTCTGATCTTGTTGACTAGAGTTTTTGCTACAAAATGTGTTAATTGATGTTATGCATGTTCTACAATGGGAATCATATAATTATTATGGTTGCATTCTATAGAATTAGAATAATTGCATTGTTTTTTCTGTCCTATTGCAGCTGGTGGAATGGTTATTGCTCAAGAGACCGGGATTAATTCCTCCGACACGGACACACCAGCTCCGGTATAACTTCATTTGCCTAATTTGCATTCATGTTCATATACTACTCATCCTCATATCATCTTTCTTCTGTGGAACGCAAGAGGGGAATTTTTTTTTATAATCTTTTTATTATTTCCATTTTTGTATGCACTATGCATATATAAGATTATAAGAAGTGGAATATTTTTAGATTTTCATTTTCACTGACTTTTTACAAGTCTATTGACTTCAAAAGACACTATATTCACTTCAGTTCAAAAGTTTGGGGTTGGTAAGATTTAATATATATATTATATATATATATTGCTAGAAGTCTCTTCTGCTCACCAAGGCTGCATTTATTTGATCAGAAATACAGTAAAATTATAGGAATACTGCGCAATGTTAATACCATTTAAATATCTTAAATAACTCTGTGATCAAAGCTGAATGTTCAGCATCATTACTCCAGTCTTCAGAGTCACATGATCCTTCAGAAATCACTCTAATATGATGATTTGATGATCAAGAAACATTTATGATTATTATCAATTTTGAAATTTGATGAATAGAAAGTTCAAAAGAACAGCATTCGTTTGAAATAGAAATCTTTTATAACATTATAAATGCCCCTATACTGGAACTTTTGATTATTTTAATGTATCCTTTCTGAAAAAAAAAAAAATAACATTAACATATAAATGCACTTACTACTTATTACTGTTGAACTTAGTCTCTTTCTCTCTTCGTCCCACAGCCCTCGCCGCTGACATCAGGTGAAGTGACTTTACATGCTTTGCAGAAAGTAATGTAGAAACTCCATGTAAAACTTTATAATTATTTACAAGAAATGGGAATTCATGCAAATTTAAATATACAAAAATGATAAATGCAGCAAACTCAAAGCATATTTGTGTGGCGTTGTTCTTCTCGACAGTGGACACAATGGAGGACCAGGTGGACAGACTCAGTCTGAGTAGAGCTTCTGAGATTAGTGGAGGTACTGTAGGAAATGTCCAAAACAACATCATGTGTGATCTCTGTTTTTCATCTTATACTAATTTTTTTTTTTATCTCTGTCTTAGATCAGAGTCTGACTGAAAATCCAGAGGTAAGACCTTTTACACATTATATCTTTATTCTCGGTTCAGTACATGTTAAGCTTAATCAAACATATGCAAACATATTTCTGGCAGGCTATCTTTATTAAATTAAGCCACATTAAGGTCTTTCTTTGTAACAGTTTTCTATTCAGAATATTATGAACAAGTCTGTTGCATTTGAAAATGAGGGAGACTAGAGTTTTGCAATAGAACACAAAGTTTCTTGAAGGAAAACAATACTTTTGTGAGAAAATGCTAAGTTTCTCTGCGATACTTTAAGAGAACGCTCTTGTTCTGTAGTACATCTGTTAGGTTGTGTTTATTAGTTTTGCTCTATTTGGCCATGATCTGTGTAGCTAACTATATTAGCGTACACTATATTGTGTTATACTGGACACCCCTGCTTAAATCAGACCTGATGTTCTTCACATTCGCCCGCCTAACACTGCATGTTGTGAATGCCAGATCCCGCAGTATGAGATGACAGGGGACAGGAGAGGAGTCTGTCTAATCATCAACAACCGTGACTTCAGTGCATGCACTCTGGGAAACAGAGAAGGAACAGACATTGACAAAGGTTAGTGTAACAAACACAACTAAAACCAACGATCATGTCGATAGCCTGATAACCATCACAACACTATCAGCATTGGTTGCGGAGTGGTTTTTAGTGTGTTGCTATGTGGTTTCTTAGGGTTTTTGTCACCAGCCCAAGTCAAAATGATATTCTGGTCTCTAGATATGGCTCGGGTTTCTCCTTCAAAAAATATAAAAGGCCCATTCACACCAAAATGATGCTAGAATTGGTTGCGATGAATATTTTAATTTGAACGAACGGCTATTAAAGGGTTAGTTCACCCAAAAATGAAAATGATGTCATCAATGACTCACCCTCATGTCGTCCCAAGCCCGTAAGACCTCCGTTCATCTTCGGGACACAGTTTAAGATATTTTAGATTTAGTCCGAGAGCTTTCTGTCCCTCCATTGGAAATGTATGTACGGTATACTGTCCTTGTCCAGAAAGGAAATAAAGACATCATCAAAGTAGTCCATGTGACATCAGTGGGTTAGTTAGAGTGTGTTGAAGCATCGAAAATACATTTTGCTCCAAAAATAACAAAAACTACGACTTTATTCAGCATTGTATGTGTTCCGGTTCTGTTGTGGATCCGCGTTCAGTGCCGCCGCTGACGTAAGACGCTGCTGACGTGTGTCTGGTCTTGTGTGTGTGTGTGTGTGCAGCCAGTCTGGAGGCTGTGTTCCAGTGGTTGGGCTTTGAGGTGGTGGTTGAGCAGGACTGCGATCACATGCGTATGCTGCAGGTGTTGAGGGAGCTGGCGTCCCGTGACCACACACCGGTGGACTGCGTGGTGTGCTGCGTGCTGAGCCACGGGCGTGTGGAGGGCATCGCCGGGGTCGATGGAGAGACCGTCACCGTCAGAGAGCTGACGGAGACTCTGAGTCCAATGTGGTGCCCCTCACTCTTCCAGAAACCCAAACTGTTCTTCATCCAGGCCTGCAGGGGCACCAGAGAGCAGAGAGCAGTGTTTGGTCAAACTTTCCCAGAAGATGAGGACTCGCCGGTCAGCGACGCAGCTGTACCCAGAGACTCCATCCCCGAGGCGGCGGACTACCTGCTAGCCACCTCAACCGTACCTCACCATGTCTCATACAGGGAAAAGGGCAAGGGCTCCTGGTTCATACAGTCCCTCTGCCGCAATCTGAAGCTGCTGGTGCCAAGGTGAGCGCGCATCCAAGACAACACAGTGCTATTCACATCAGCAGAGCTGGAAAGACCAGTGCTGCGTCCCAATTCGCATACTATCCGTCTCGAAAATAGAATTAGTACGTCCCAAATCATAGTATGTTGAAATGAGTGTTGGGAAGAGACCCAGATGGTCTACTATATCCGGTCAGAACCCGAAGTGCAGATCGATGCGCACGCTAACGGCTGATATTGCCCACAACCCATCGCGCGTTGGACGAGGATCCGATTAGAACTACAAACACGAGTGAAAAGTGGTAAAAAACTACAGACATGGAGGACGCGCGAGTCCGGCGGTTATGTAGAGAGGTTTAGATAAAGGGGATAAAGGGCGTAGTATAATGGTGCGTTCACGTGCTATGCAAAATATGATATTTTCCACTTGTGAACTGGTATTTAGCAGTGTGTTGCATTCAAGTGCTTTTGTTGTCGTAATGTGGTAAAAAGATGGAGATCCAGACCTGTTATTTAGCTAAAACTATTTTAGATTGCTTAAGTCATCTGCTACAGCAAGAAAATGATTTATCAAAACTCAAACGGTAAATAATATGCGGTATATTTTCTAGATCATGAATGGTACATATTTTTACCATTCACGACTCTCGCGTTACTCTCCGCCATTTTGAAAAGGTCAAAGGTTATTTATCCTCTTCAACTCGTGCATCAAAATATTCTACGAGCTGCCCAGTGGAAAATACCACATGAGGGGGTGTTCACGTGCATTTTCCACGTCGGCTTTTGGTATTTACCATAATTACCATAGCACGTGAACGCACCATAAGTAGGCGAATTGGGACGCAGCACAGCGGTCAGAAAGTAAAAGTCCTGCCATATGTTTATTCCACCAGCTAATTACACTAATTAGTTGTGTCTCCTGGCTGAAAAATGGCTAATTAGCAAATCCAGGTGAGCGGAACAAAATACCGAGGAGGACTTTTACTGCCTGAACCTGGACTTCACACCCCTGCATACGTTTATTTAAAACTCGCTTTGAGATTTTGTGCCTTAAGGCCTGTTCACACCGGGACGAATTTCGCGCGCGCTATTCGCCGACGTTTAACGCCTCGTGACTAAACAAAGGGCGCCAATGTGAGTGTGCACACCGACGCGAAAAACGCCACGCGTAAAAGCGTCATTTTTTAAAAAATGCCTCGGGTTTTTTTTTTTGGTTTGACGCGCCGCGTCAAAAACTATCCGACCAATGAGATTGCTGCTTTTGCTCACGTGTCTGGAGCTTCTGAAGTTACAGTAAAACACAACTTGGTGGCGCTCACACACAAAATGGTCTTGCCGAGCACACATACGTAACGGCGAAGAAGATGCGCCAAGTAGCGTCTACATCATAGATATCCATAATAAAGGCTAGATGTCTCGTCCGCGCTGCTGGCCAATGGCCTTTATTATGGATATCTATGGTCTACACTGCCGGGAAGAAATAAGACGAGGAAGATGCAAGGCAAGATGAATGTAGAGCTGCTGGTCTCGTTGGTGTCGGAACATAAAGAACTATATGACAAACGCGACAGCGACTACAAAATAGGACTATTTCTGTTTTACATTAAGCGCCATCTAATGTCAGGGAATGAATTTGCATGTTCACTCGGCTCAACGTCAGCGAAAATCGCTTGGGTGTGAACACAAAAAACGCGTTGAAAAACGCTGACGAATAACGCGCGCAGATATTCGTCCCAGTGTGTACGGGCCTTTACTGTCCTCATATATATGATTCAGTGCAGACTGGGGTTGTGTCAGCAGCATTAAACATTGCTGCGTTAACTCCTGTGCCAAAAAAAAGAAAAGAAAATGCTGCCCTGGGAAGCGTTTCCCGAAAGCATCGTTAGACAACTGTGGTCAACTTCCGTCGTTATCAGCAGTTCAACGAGTCGCTGTTTCCCGAAAACAGTTCTAACGAACACTCAGAGTATCTTGTTTGCATGACATGAGGACTTAATAAATCCTTATCTTGAGCCAAATAAGCAAACATTCAGTACAATCTGTAGCTTTTATTTAGAATATATATACAAATGTCACAGTAACCATCCTTTTATATAAGTGTCATTTGGGCAAAAAACTTGCGACTATACCGAGGCGTAGGAGGAGTAATCTTAACTGTACAATAAAGTAAAAAAGAACTTACTGTCGATCATCAAACACATTTATGCAATCCAAAAACCTGTGTCTATAACAACTTTAGTAGTAGGTAGAGAGTCTCTCGACACGCCGCATCTTATACTGGAGTATAAACCAGATCCTGGCGCTGCATTATTTACGATATTATAATGTATGCAATATTTAAAACATTAAATATTCACATCAGGTTAATATCACATTTATTGTCAATAACAATACTGCGACACTATATTATAGCTTTAGCACAATGCAACCTTTGCCTTGCACAGTATGCAGATTTGTTCTGTATGTATATTCCTTTTAATTCCTTTTTGATTTATTGGCTGAATTTGAAATACTACCTTATTATTTCTGTCACATATTTAAAGTACACTATTTTTTATTATTTTATTTACCGTTTTTGTGTACGAGTATGGTACACTGCACAGTATTCAGCATTCAATACTCCTAACATACATTAGAAGAAAAAAACGTTCAAGACTATTATATCAATGCAAGCATAGTTTAAAGGGGTCATGACATGGTTTTTTGTTTTGTTTTATTATGTTTCCTTAGGTGCAATTATAGTATTAATATAGTTTTTTGTACAATTTTTTTTTAAAAATGTAGTGATTTATGACCTTTTCCCACCCTGTTTCTCCCCCTCTGATTCAAACAGTCTGTTTTGGAGGTGTTTCCCCTTTAAGAGTTCAGTGTTAACGCCCATTGTTATGATTGGCTAACGTCAGTGCTGCTTATGCATAAATTATTAACGTTAATCATTTTGTATCACATGTACACAATGCTCCGCCACGTGAAACTTCGGTCTTCCGATCTTTTACCATCGTGTCAATTCTCAATTGATTTTGATTCATATGCGCGAGGGAGAGAGAGAGGGAGAGCAAGACAGTTTGAAGGCGCGCGCGCGGCCGGGGCTCTCTCTCTCTCTGCTCGTTCTTTCAGTAACATGCGCTCTGTCACACTCATCTACATCACTCACCGAACAAATAAGGCTTTGGCATATGCTGCAAATAAACTGCATCCAACTGCTTTCCCTGACGTCCGGATCGTTCGGCAGCATTCAAACATGTTGTTTGTCCACAGCCAGGAACAGCACATCTGCGTGGCATTGCAGTCATCTTGTAAACAGACCCCCTCGCTGCGATGATGTGAGCTGAGGGGTGTTTGGTGTTTTTAGCCCCCAACGGCGCCGTCCAGGCAGCGAGGAGATGGGTAGGTTTAGGGACGAGGTTAGGGTTAGCTGCCTGGAAGGAGCCATTGGGGGCTAAAAACACCATCGAGCGAAATGAGGCGTAGTTGTCTTGCACTGGAGCAGGGGCGGAGCCAGACGATGTAAACATTCGGGGCTTAGCCCAAACCAGGGGCATCTATTTTTATTATGTGGGGGTGCTCTCCCTAGGGGGGTACGGGGGTTAACCTGACTCCGCCAGATGGATTTGCTCCGCATATCCATCTGGAAACCTTCCGTTGAAGTAGTTTTGGTAAGGGGCGAAAATACTGGTTAGCTGATTGGCCTATGTTGGTGATAGACGGGCCAAATCAACCAATTAGATCAACGAAGCATATGACGTACTAACAGAGCGTATCTTTTCCTCTGAGAAAAGCCTCCAGAGCAGTGTTTTGCTCTTTTTTCAGTGAAGAAATACTCTGTAATTCCGATAAAACTTGCTCGATAGCCACGCTGATGCTAGTTTCATCCGCTGAAGCCGACATGCTCTTTAGACTGAACTGACGCGCTTCTCGTTGCGTCACACCTCAACCCGCCTCAAAGCCAACGCTGATTGGACGTTCGTTTGGTGAACTGCTCCCAAATTTTCTTTAACGGAAAGTATCCAGTAGTGATGGGCGATACTGCAAATTTCTGTATCGATCCGATACCAAGTAAATACAGGGCCAGTATCGCCGATATCGATACCGATACCGATACTTTTTCATTTTAAAAGCATGAATTTGAACTTGTATGCACTTTCCTGTGCTAGAGCAGTGTGTCATGATTTATGAGGTGAATGCATCATTAATATGCTAAATCTGAACACGTTTTCATGACTACTAGGCCTAAATATTTTGTGATTTGTGCTCTCAGCTCCCCTTTAATTAGTCAGTGACTTTTACAAAACTACCCTAATTATAGTAATAGCCTACTAGTACTAGCCTACTGTTCAAAAGTTTGGGGTCTGTAAGATTTTTATTTCTCTTAGTAAAAACTGTAATATTACAATTTAACATAGGCTATCTGTTTTCTATGCCATAGTAAACTGTAATTTATTTATGTGATCAAAGCTAAATTTTCGACATCATTACTCCAGTCATGATGATAATTCATTTTAATATGCTGATTTGCTGCTTAGGAAACATTTCTTATTATTATCAATGTTGAAAACAGTTTCATATTTAGTTGGAAACCATGATACATTTTATGCAGAATTATTTGATGAACAAAGTTCAAAGAACAGCATTTATATGAAGTAGATTTTTTTTAAGAGTGCAAAACCCTTGACTGTCACTTTTTATCAATTTAATGCATCGATCCTTGTTGAATAAAAATATTAATTTCATAAAAAAGATCTTACTGACGTCAACATTTTAAACCGTTATGTACAGTTTTGGTTTGTTTATTGCGAAATAACTCCCGATTGTTTCTCTGTCATCTAAGCAAGGCTTCGTTTCCCAAACGCACTGGGCATGTGAGCTCAGCGAAGCACCAGCATCGAACGCTCTCTGTGATTGATTGGTTTCGTCTTGTATACAGATGACTAGGATAAAAGGTTCTATCCTGCACAATTACCCGCTAACATTCGCTTATTTTTCCACTTAGAAGCTTATTTTACGCACTGAATTGCGTGCTAAATTAATAAAAAATTACTGGTAAAAAAAATACACATTTGGATCGATATTTTTATGTGAGGATCGATCCTTTTCGATACCACGTCAGTATCGAAGTATCGATACTTCAGGATCGATCCGCCCATCACTAGTATCCAGACTGATCTGCGAGTGAAACCTTGAAAGCTCGCGAGATCAGGATGGTCTCACGAGGCTATACGGGGGTATGCCCCCCCGGGAATTTTTTTTTGAAAAATAAACCATTAAAAGGCACTTTCTGGAGAGTTTTGTGCAAAGAAATTGATAATTGAGTATTACATGAAATGTGAAAAACTGTAAGGTTAAGAGCATATACTTTGCATTGTTGTAGAAGATTTAGCGTTTACGTTACTGTTAATCAGTCATCACTTGATTACACATTGTATTACCTTGTTATATAGTGACCCATACAATGTGCCACACATAATGTGCCACATGAAGAGAGATACACACACACACATACACACAGCCTACTCTGCGACTGCGAGTCTTGGTCTAGCAAGTCTTATATTTCTGTAATTCACACAGATCAAACACAAATATGCTGACTGAATAGACTGCTAGTTTATTTTGAGAGCCAGCTAGCCGTTCTCTTGGCAGTTTGCTGATAATCCGGTGTCTGAAGTAAATATGAGTAAAATGCTCAAAACATCTCTTGAGAAAAATCACAAGGACAACCTAGTCTTGGTTATTTAATTTTGATTTAGTCTTATTTTCCTTACCTTGTCATTCAAGGCCAGGGCACTTTTTTGTACATTTCTGGAACTTTTGCGCGCTACTACATCCCGCGCAACAATCTCGCAGGAACATTAATTATTGCTGCGCACATTTATCCGTGTCACCTAGATGCGCATGCACAAGAATACGGCCGTTTTCCGATTGTTCTCATCTCAGCTCCGCAGAGACAAAATAGACATGCCATTTTAAAAATCTTTCATTTATTGTCAAAGATATGTTTTCAAAAGCATCACTTTCATCAAATTTTATGTGACATAAATAATTTCCAGTATAAAGGCAACTGACTGCAAACATGTGCCGTGGCTGAGCCAGTGAGCTCGCTACGACGACGGTCACGGTGAAACCAAACCCCATATTAGACTTTCTCTGGTGAAACCATGGGTGAAACATACAACAGCCCGCCAACGGCAAGCCCCTGATGACAACGACGACGAAGAAGACGATTTATATTCTTCTTCGTTAGTTTTTATTGGCAGTTGGCATACAAGCTGAGTGATGCGCGATGCAATGCATTACCGTCCGCCACCACGCACGGTGGTAGAGCTTTTGTTTCATTTTTTGCCGCTCCAGTCAGAAAGACTGAGAGGAAATTAAACAAAGTTGAAGTCATTTTAAAAAACCTAAAAGATTCGGGGCTTTTGACAAAACATTCGGGGCTTAAGCCCAATTAGCCACCCCCCCCGCTCCGCCCCTGCGCTGGAGGCGGTCATATGCAAACGACTGGTACGTCACTTCGTACTGTGACGTCACTTCATACCATGGATCCACAACGAGCTGTATTTAGAGCTTGATTAAATAAATGCTTCGTTTATAATGGGGAGGACGTCTTAAGCTATGAAACTTGCAGGAAGTTTTAATAGTAGGCTACATAGATCTCTTATATACCAAAAGATCAAGGCAAATTCGGTTTCTCATGTCATGACCCCTTTAATATGTGGATATAAATCCCTCAAGCATCTTTGGCAATGAATGAATGCACTGCGGAAACACTGATTGAGATGGAAGTAACTAAGCTTAACTGTCTAACTTTGACTCAGTTGTGTGTGTGTGTGTCTGTCTTGTGTGCATGCAGGGGGACAGATCTACTCTCCATTCTGACGCAGGTGAACGGAGACGTGAGCAGGAAGACGGACAAGAGTGGTCTGAGGAAGCAGATGCCACAGCCAGAGTATACTCTCACCAAGAGAGTGGTTTTCCCTCCTCCCAAAACTCAACCACCCCCTCCATGATGTCCTCCAGTTTACCGGCCCGTCATCGAGTGCTGACTCGCTGAGCCATATCGTTGTCTTTACTTGAAATGCCATTTCAAAATTTACCATCATTTCCAATTTGCAAAAACATTACCATCTATGCAATTTACTGTAATACTTGAATGGACCTTTCTATGGACCCTAAGGCATGACGTGGTTCAATAGATCGGCTACTGCACATACAAATTCTATTAATATTGCTATTTTTGGGTGAATATCTTTTGTAAGAAGCTGTTTAAAAACTTTCCAGGGTTTCTACGCCGTTTGGAAAAGTATGGAATTTGATTTTTAGTAATTTCCAGGTCTGGAAAAGTATGGAAAAAAGAAAGCACAATATGGAAAAATATTTGCATTTCCAGACTATTCACCCTATTTAGTTTTATATAATAGAAAATTAAGAATTTAATGAAAATAAATGTATCATACAAAAAGTGTGTTTTCATGGCAGCTGTTTAGTGATTGTCAAAAACGACGAAGGTGCACTTTTTCAGTATGCAAAAATGCAGGTAATAAGCGTTTTGGGTTTCTTCTCATGATATTCTTAGCATTCTTACAGAGCCACTAAAAGGATCTTTGCAAAAAAAACAAAAAAATGCAGACTTTAATGTGTGCATGAAACCATTAACCTTAGCATAGACAATGCACACTGAGCCTCCTATTGCACCATCAGCCCATTTCACTGTGTGGTTTCTCCGCCATATAGAGTATGTGTTAAAGCAGACTCGAGGCCTTGAAATAGGATGATGTACATGATGATGTAATGAAAGAAAAATTTGACCACTTTTTTTTAAGCACCAGTGTTTTTATAGACCCTTGAACTATAAGAACAATGCACACAGCCATATTGTGCCATCAGCCCATTTTGTGTCATGGTTCCTCTGCCTCCATTAAGGATTCATTAAATTGGACATTAGGCCTTGATATTAGAGGGACGTAAAATCATGCCTGTTCCTCTCATAGATATCCATAATAAAGGCTAGATGTCTCGTCCGCGCTGCTGGCCAATGGAGGTCGACGTCCGCACCTGGCGGCCATCTTGTCACAGGCAGCTCGCTCACTCGTTACATTGTGTTTTAATGGTGCATGTACTTTTTAAATAACCATAACTTGCTCAATTTTCTACCGATTTTCAAACGGTTTGGTTTGTTATAAACGTCAGAGATGTAGTTATGACACTGCATACTTATGAATAATAAGTGTAAAAATAAATAATCATCCAGAATTATAGCCACGTTATTAACGTTTGTAAGAAACCAAACCGTTTGTAAATCCGTCAAGATTTCAACGAGATGAGAGTATTTGTGTTCCTGCTGATCACTCATCTTACATCAGGCACCACAGAGCCCGCCAGAAAGCTTGCCTGTGACAAGATGGCCGCCGGTGATGATGATAGAGACTCCGCCGTAAGACATCTAGCCTTTATTATGGATATCTATGGTTCCTCTCTCCACTGTCGCTGCTCCTTCTTTATGCCTCCGCTCCTCCGTGAGAGATGCGAGACCGGTGCGTCACACAGGTGTTGTTCATTATCACTCACCGCCGCTCTCATGTCCCTCGGCCTCGTCCTGCTTGCCACAATATTATTTCAGCAACATGAGAAGCCAGTGAATTAGCAGGTTTCAATTGTTGCTTTGCACAGTGTGTGACATTTTATCTACATGTAACGTGGCTAGAGTTTTGACACCGAGTCAATGGGCTCTGTCTAATTCTTTCTTTTTCGCTTGTTTATCGACATCATTTTTTCCTTTTACCCGTATTTGTTCTATGAGCAGGTGTCACTCGAAAAATTGCAGCTGCAGCTCGCCGGCAATCTCGAGTTTGGTTTGAATGACGGCGCGCTGTGCAAGAGAGGGGTGTGATCAGCGCGTACACGAGCGTGATTGACACTGCTAAGACACTCCTCCTGGCTCTGATTGGTTGTTTCTGACCGGGAGCGGTGTATTTCTGCAAATGGCAATAGGACCACTGGGAGGAGCCAGAGGAGCTTGATTTTTTCACAGATTATCTGTCTCATAGTCTACTGTCAGGACATAATGACAGTTTTAACAAATATGTAAAAAAAATATATATATATTTGTTACCTACTGCAGCTTTAAGGTAAAAGCAGAGAATGTCTAATATAGGGAGAACTTCCACTCTCAGTACACTTCTGGCTTCTGAACTGGTTGCAGTTCCACTCTGGTTCCAGATGAGGGCGCTCACAGGACGAGTGCAGAATGAATGGAGGTCTATGGAGCAATACCCCTCAAAATACACTTTTCTCAGGATATAATTTTTTGTCTAGTAATTGGAATGTTGTATTCGAATCGAGATGCAAAGAAATTACACATTGTTGGGTGTTAGATTTTTTAGAGTCACTTATTTTCTTTAAAAAGTCTTTTTTAAATATCTTCTTTTTTGTTCAACAAAGAAACTCACACAAGTTCGGAACAACACAAGGGCGAATAAATGATGACAAAAATTACATTTTTGGGTGAACTGTTCCTTTCCTTTGGTACAGTAAAGGGAAGCTTCACATTGCATTAGGAACATCATACATTAATATACATGTAATCAAAAATAACAATATATCATATAAAAAATAACAATAAAGTGAAAGTTTGTATTTAAAACAAATACAAAAGTATTTGGTTCAATGATTTGTCATTGGCCTTGGGTGGTTTCTAGTGGAAGTCCTAATTTTGTGTGCAGTTTTATTTCTGTGAGGCTGTGAGTCTGTACATGTTCAGGGCTTTTCTTAGTGTAGCCGATTTTTTCCATCTCATTAATATTTAGTAGATCTCCATTATTTATTTAAGGTGTGAATGACAATAAACAACAGGCTTCCCCTTTTATCAGAGCCCATCTACCCAATAGTATCTGTCTGCAGTCTGCAAGACTTCAAGTTACGCCCCTTCCAAGTTTTTTTTTTTTTTTTTTTGGGTGAACCTTTAAATCTGAATCAGATTGGTCACAACCAGAGCCGTTGTTACCATATACATAATTGTACGCTTTCAAATTATATATAGTTTGTCAATATTAGTTTAGGTTTAGTATAGGATATTACTGTTTTAAATATTTAATGGCTATGGGCCGGTGACACTTACCATAGACAATAAACACACACACCAACCTTTATGACACCAACACAAACGTAATGAGAGGCGGAGCCTGAGATTCCATTTGAAAGAGAGATGGCAAGCAACCATTGCTCAAAACGGCTAACATGAATGGCTCTAAAGATATATTATCATGCCACATATATATATTTATGCAAATAATGTTGAAGTTTAACGGACAAATCTGATCAAGCAGTGCTTGAGGCATGTCCTCCATTGACTTTCACTCAAGAAAGGCACATTCTAGTCTCCTCCACAACAACGATACGCATTTGGGCTCAGCTTGGGGGCTTCCGCTGGGGAGGGGCTCTGGCGGAGGACCATTTGGGAGGCGGGGCTTATAGTCAGTATAGAGGAATTCTATTGGCCAGTGCTTGTGCCAATCAAAGTAGAAGCGGCATACGGATAGCAATAATGGCTGATTCTCAGTAAGGAACCCATACAACCTTTTCTTCTTTCTTCTACATTTAACAATCGTTGTATTTCAACACGTACGTGTCTGTTTAATGTAATATCTGCAGCGGGTTGGACTGAGTTGGGCGCTAGACTGTTTTACATGGGCAAAATGTGTTATTGTTTAGTGTCTCTTACGCAGTGCTCAATACAACACTATATATTTGATATGTTTGGGTCTCTATTTGTCCTGTCCGACTCTTTGCGTTTTGTTTGCTCATTTTTCTGACGAGGTAACACACATATTGTTCTAGTCCCAGTGTCGCGATGGCTCATCAACGAGTCTGCTGTCAGGATAAAACGCCAATCCAGATCCTGCACGAATACGGCATCAAAATCGGCAGCGCTCCCCAGTACGAGCTCTTACACGCGCTCGCTGACGGAGACGCGCACCAGCCTTCTTCCTTCGTCTTCGGTGTCACCATAGGAGATGTCACATGCAAAGGTCATCTTTTATTCACATGAGTATTATAATAGCACCTAGTATGAGTAAGTAATAATAAAGTGTACACTAGTATTCTAATAGATAATCGTTTTTTTTTTCTTAAAGGGCAAGGAGCGACTAAAAAGGCGGCTAAACATGACGCTGCAGAAGCCGCCTTGAAATTATTGAAACGAGACCCCCAGCCAAAGTAATACACACCGTAGAGATGGATATAAACCAATATAGATCCATTACCTCAGTTAACACTGATCCAAATGTTCTGAATCTTTCACAGTGGTCAGAGAGACAATGGTCTTTCTCCTGAAGGCGGTGACGGGTCCAATCCTGTGGGAATACTGCAGGTATCTGATCAAGCTTTTCACATCTTGAAGCACAACTATTATTATTATTATTATTATGGGAAACAGTATTGCTGCATCCGCGTACTTCTCAACTATATACAGTGATGTAGTGGTGCCTGGAGAATACTCTTAATTTATGCCCCCAATATTTTTTTAAGCGTCCCAGCAAAGGACGAACAATCTGTGTTATAAACAGTGACATGTAAGACTAGTCTTGCATTAGTATTGAATATGCTAGACTATAGAATATAATGAATAGAATAGAACATATATAGAATTACTAGTATTCTTGCATATCAGGCCTGTACGCAGGGTTTTCTAAATACCCTTGTCCCATAAATGATATTGCTAGGGGGGTTGGGGGGCATGATCTCGACATGAGCATTTTAAGATGTTTTGATGGCCAAAAAAACATGATCAGATGAAACATGAGAATCAGTTCCAGTTTCAGCTACTTTTTCTTTCCTAAATTAATCAATGTTTTTGGACTAATCTGTTCATTTAATTAATGGTTTAATTGCTCACTCATAAAGACAGTCACTTGTCGCCGCCTTCTGGCTTAATGATACAAGTGACTGTCTTTATGAGTGGTTGCTTGTGTTGTTAAATTGAGCTTATCATTTCCGCTGTCTTTGATCAAACTTTCTGTCGGTCATTTAAAACTTCTATCGAAAAACAGCCGTATATTTTAGCTACTTGCATCTTATCTCGCACTGTATGATCGTTAACTGAAGTGAAGCGTCGTGTTGGGATTCGCGCTCGGCTCGCGCTTCTGTGAACAATCATCCTGCTTGCTTTGATTGGTCTCAAACATTTTGACATTGACGAGCGGGTGTTTGAGTGCTGAAGCAGATCAGATGAGAATCGTCGCAGCACCAAATTAGAGTTAATACTAGGGAATTATTGCACAACTTTCATTATATAGGCTACACAAAAAAAAACGACTGAGGTCAGGATCTCGGGGATCTCAATGATACGACCCTGTCTGTGTGTTGTTTATTCACGAGATTAGATTAGCAACTAAATGATGCGCATCAGAGGGGATTTAGAAGTGGGTATGCGCAATGCCGACTGAAAAAGAAGTGGTTATACGCCGTATACCTGCGTATACCCTGCACTACACCACTGACTATATACCCAGACAAATCTACAAATCACAACATATAAATAGGAAAATGTTGGCGTTATTTTGTCACTTATTGGGAGCAGTATGCTAGCTGGAGCCATTTACTTCCAGTCTTTGTGCTAAGCTAGGCTAGCTGTGTGTGCGTCAGACAGACGAGCGCAACTTCTGTTTCATGCAGACTTTAAAGATTATAAGGGCACATGTATTTACAAATAATAATAATGATGTGCACAGATACATACTTTATAATAAATACTGCAATTTTCTGTCAACAAAAAAAGTCAGTTTTGATTCCATGGTGAGTTTAAACACTGTTTTTTTATTTTGAGGAACTGGCCATGCAGCGGGTGTGGTGTCTGCCGGAGTATATGGTGTGTATGGAGACGGGTCCGGATCACATGAAGGAGTTCACCGTGACCTGTCGTCTGGAGGGCCTGGAGGAGTCAGGTGCCGTCAGCTCTTTCACACAGAGACCTCAGCTCAGGCTGAGCGCAGGAGGACTGATGCAGTGTCATGTGCTTTTGCTCATCAGGGGCCGGCAGCTCGAAGAAGCTGGCCAGACGAGCAGCCGCTGAACGCATGCTGGGGAAACTGCAGAGTCTGTCCGGCTCTCCCGAGATCACGTGGGTTAGTGACTTTCATCCGTTCAGAGATGTGTTGGGATTCTTTCACTGAAAATTATTGATTAATCCTTAGGTTTAAAGGGTTAGTTTACCCAAAAATAAAAATTAGCCCATGATTTACTCACCATCAAGTCATCCTAGGTGTATATGACTTTCTTCTTTCAGACGAATACAATCAGAGTTATATTAAAACATGTCCTGGCTCTTCCAAGCTTTAAAATGGGAGTGAATGGCTGTTTCTGTTTTGAAGTCGATAAAAGTGCATCTATCCATGATAAGTGCTCCACACGGCTCCTGTGGGTTAATAAAGGCCTTCTGAAGCGAAGCGATGAGTTTGTGTAAGAAAAATATCCATATTTAAAACTTTATCGACTAAAATAACTCAGGGATGTGATTCTTCCGGATTAATCCGTAATTCCGGTCATTTCAGCCTAAAATCATGACCCACGTGAATCATGCAGATCAGTAATAAAAATAAAACCGGGTGTGTTTGGAAGTTTTGAGAAAGTCATTGTAATTTGTTTCAAAATATTTATATAATAGAATAGTGTATGTTTAAGTGATAATATTAACTAAACAAACTACAATACTTAACGTTCATTCAATCCATCTGACTATGGCATTTCCATCAGATTTTGTTTTGCAGCGTTGAGCATTTTAACCAATCGCACACGTTTCCGTTGAGTTTATGAGCGTGATGACCAATCAGAGGCCTTCAGATTAGTCATCGCTGAAGCGAATAGTTTTGTTCAGTGCGCTGACTGGATTCTTCTGACTTCCATCATAAACAACAAAGTGCAGATTCGATGTAAGAGATTCATGTCACACGTTTCTGTGGTTTTAACGGGAGTTTTGTGCGCGCTAGACCCGAGTTATGGACAGCCTCACGATCGGTCCTGGCACTGCGTATCTAGGCCTATAGCATGAGTGCTTTTATTAGGCTTGCTCTTTATACGCAAAAGCAATACGTGCATCTGGTAGGCAAAACAAGTGCGTATCATATGTAGCCTACGGCGCTAAATTGCTTATTGGATGCGTGTAAAAGGTCATTTATGCGTATAAAGAGCATGCAAAGCTCGATCGGTCACAATCTCTGCTCCTGTTCTGTGTACGGTTTATTCAAGTTAATATAATTTATTCATCATGCTGATGAGATTGTGTAGTCTTCATTTTCTAATGCGTAAAAAGCATTAATATAATTCATAAATGGTTCTTAGGTTGTTTTGCCAGAATATGATGTGCAGTTTACCAAAACACAAAAAAACATTTTATGTTGCCTATTCCTATTGTAGAAGTTTGAGTGGAATTGTATTTCCTGAATGAGATTAACCGGTATTGGAAACACAGTTGTTTTCTTTACAGAACTACAGAACAGTTATCGTCCTTACATTTCCCCCAAAGATAAGTTAAGATGTCCTGTTTTGTATTACTAGAAATAAATTATAGCTGTTAAATATATTTCCATGTGTGTCACAGTTCCTGGTAGTAAATTGCACTGATTCAGGTGTTTAAAAAGTAAAAAGTGCTTTATGCTGGGGTTTCACTCGCACAATCACATCCCTGATAACTCGCTTCCGGACATTATAAAGCTTGGAAGAGGCCAGGACATTTAAAAAAAAAAATATTTAACTCTGATTGCATTCGTCTGAAAAAAGAAAGTCATATACACCTAGGACGGCTTGAGTGCGAGTAAAGCTAATTTTAATTTTTGGGTGAACTATCCCTTTAAGGAGTGCACATCTAAAAAAAATTCAGTAATTGCATGGATTTCTGTAATTGATCCCAATGAACCTGATTTCACCAAGCTGATCCTGGATCAACACCATAATCAACCAATCAGATTTGAGGGACAAGTTTACAGTTTTTGTCAAGGTTACGCCTACAACCAGGGTTAGGCAACAACTTATATGTGGGTTCAGGGTTCGGTTTGGGATGGATTTTGGGATGGGGTTTGGGATGGAGGAAACATCCCAAACTCCATCCCAAACCCATATCCCAAACCCCATCCCAAACTCCATCTCAAACCTTATCCCAAACTCCATCCCAAACCCTATCCCAAACCCATATCCCAAACTCATATCCCAAACCCCATCTCAAACCTTATCCCAAACCCCATCTCAAAGTCCATCCCAAACCCCATCTCAAACTCCATCTCAAACCTTATCCCAAAGTCCATCCCAAAACTCCATCCCAAACTCCCTCCCAAACAACATCTCAAACCTTATCCCAAACTATATCCCAAACTCCATCCCAAAATCCATCCCAAACCGAACCCTGAACCCACATATAAGTGGGTGGGGTTCGGGATGGAGTTTGGGATATAGTTTGGGATAAGGTTTGAGATGGGGTTTGGGATGGAGTTTGGGATAGAGTTTGGGATGGACTTTGAGATGGGGTTTGGGATAAGGTTTGAGATGGGGTTTGGGATGGAGTTTGGGATATGAGTTTGGGATGGAGTTTGGGATATGAGTTTGGGATAGGGTTTGGGATGGAGTTTGGGATAAGGTTTGAGATGGGGTTTGGGATATGGGTTTGGGATGGGGTTTGGGATAGGGTTAGGACTACATTTTCGGACAGAAATGTTGCTCCAGGATCAACAAAATATATTGACTCCGGGAAAGTGTCTTGCTTGGCAAATCATGGTGACTTTTTGCTGGAAGTGAATCAATCAAAACCAACTTTAGCCGGAAATAACATTATTCAAAATCGCTATAAAGCCAAAACAATCTCTGTTACCGTAAATTGTATGTTTATCTCTGTAAAGCTGCTTTGAAACAATCTCCATTGTTAAAAGCGCTATATAAATGAAGATGACTTGACTTGACTTATTAATAACAATGTATCAAGAACACAGTGCCACGCGTCACTCTGAAACATGACTTTATTTTGATTGAACATTTTTATTATGATCATGTTCCATGAAGATATTTTGTACATTTCCTACTGTAAATATATAAAACATGTATTTTTGTGAGTGAATGCTGCATGAACATTTTTATTATGATCATGTTCCATGAAGATATTTTGTACATTTCCTACTGTAAATATATAAAACATGTATTTTTGTGAGTGAATGCTGCACAATCGTGAACATAAATGCACAACTTTAAAGGCGATTTTCTCAATGTTTCGATTTTTTTGCACCTGCAGATTGAAGATCTATTGACCTATTGTATGTAAATATTCTCCTAACCTAACAAACCATATGTCAATGGAAAGCTTATTTACTCAGCTTTCATATGATGTATAAATCTCAATTTAAAGAAATTGCCCCATGTGACTGGTTTTGTGTGACGTGTCATGTGGTCCCCAGAGCCCTCCTGCTCGTGTGTATGTGGAGAGCTTCCGGCAGTCGACGGGCGAGAAGATCTCGCTCCTGAAGATGACTCCTCTCAGCATCCCCAACACAGACTACATCCAGATGCTGCTGGAGGTCTCGCTGGAGCTGGGCTTTCAGGTCGCATACGTAGACATCGGTGCGTTCCTGCTCCTCACTTTCTTCATGTGTGTTGTTTTGTGTCTTAAAGGGATAGTTTACTTTAAAATGAAAATTAGCCCATGATTTACTTTTATAATGGCAGTGCATTGCAACCAACAGTTTCAAGCTCATAAAAGTGCATCTATCCATGATAAAAGTGCATTTGTCCATGATAAAAGTGCATTTGTCCATGATAAAAGTGCATTTGTCCATGATAAAAGTGCATTTGTCCAAGATAAAAGTGCATCTATCCATGATAAAAGTGCATTTGTCCATGATAAAAGTGCATTTGTCCATGATAAAAGTGCATTTGTCCAAGATAAAAGTGCACGATAAAAGTACATCGATCCACGATAAAAGTGCATCACGATAAAAGTGCATCGATCCACGATAAAAGTGCATCGATCCACGATAAAAGTGCATCGATCCACGATAAAAGTGCATCGATCCACGATAAAAGTGCATCGATCCACGATAAAAGTGCATCGAACCACGATAAAAGTGCATCTGTCCATGATAAAAGTGCATCTGTCCATCATAAAAGTGCATTCACTGCCATTATAAAGCCAGGATGTTTTTAACCCTTAGAACAGGGTTCCAGACTGCGACCAAATTGGTCGCATATGTGACCGTTTTTTGAGAATGTGCGAGTTAAAATTGTATGTGGTCGCATTTGTGCGAGTGGACGCTCGCGCAACAGAACGCCATTGTATCAGCTGCTGCAGTCCGTAACTTATGTTCAAAATGAATGAGTACATCATAAATCCATTTTCCAAACCGTGTTTTTGATTTATCCTGAATCCCTACGGTACGCTTATAATAAGTGTTTATATTCTGACTATTTTATCCCGGGCTCGGCTGCGGAGTTGCCCAGTGCCTGCGTGACTCGCCATAGACATTAACCGAGAGAAGTAGCTCCGGCTAAGGTGTTATTGCGCAAGACACGTGCAGTTTATTTATTGACGAACGTACACGTCACACATATTGCACACTGATGGTGAAACGCGCCAATTACGAATTCAGGAATTAAGGCATATTAAAATGAAAAGGTCTCACTAATTACCGAGCCCCTTCCTACGTCTTTTCAGCGGTTAGATGATAGTAATCGATCGACAGAAGAAAATTATTATAAAATGCAGAAGGTAAGGAGTGTGAGATTTCTGATTTTTGTTACAACTATAAACTTTGATAACGGAAAATCTGTATCAGTTTATTATACTACTCTAATCTTTTAAAATGTAATGCATACATTTGTCTGTTTAATGATTTTTAAAAGATAGAAAGATGATGCTGATAGATAGATAGATAGATAGATAGATAGATAGATAGATAGATAGATAGATAGATAGATAGATAGATAGATAGATAGATAGATAGATAGATAGATAGAATATAATTCAAATGTAAATAGATAGATGTATACACTCTAAACAATGCTGGGTTGTTTAAACTCAAATTTGGGTCAAATATGGACAAACCCAAATGTTGGGTTAAAAATGTAATTAAAAATTTCAACCCAACTTCAACTTTCACTTCCAACTGTAATTTTTTTTATTACATTTGCATCCCAACATTTGGGTTTGTCCATATTAGACCCAAATTTGGGTTGAAACAACAGCATTTTTTAGAGTGTATAATTCAAATGTAAAATGCTTAAAATTACAGATTAAAATTACTGTCCAAAATCCACGAAAATCCTGAAATTTGGCAATGATAATTATCATATATTACATGTGGTTTTTATATTACAGGTATTTATGCTGCAACCCAGAAAGCCTTTGCTAGCCTTGGTCCATTAAAACCACTATTCATCAGCATGCATTGATTAATCCCATGGCATGTAGCAAAAAAAAAAAAAGGTGCGACCAAATCATATGCTGGTGCGACCAACTGAGAAAGTTGGTAGCACCAGTGCAACCAGTGGAAAAGTTAGTCTGGAGCCCTGCCTTAGAATCTCTTTGGGGTCATTTTGACCCCACTGGACTTTTTCTTTGATTTTTTAAAAATGTTCCCTTCATCTCAGGGCCATGAAACTCTGTGACTTTTCCTACATAATCTATCTAAATATGCACAAAAAAACTGGGTTCGATTCGGTTGTTCTAAAGGTGTGTAAATTTTTTTTTACCATTTAAGGTCTTTGGGGTCAAAATGACCCCAATTGAAAATGAATGGGAAAATGAAAAAAATGACTTTTTTTATTTTGTTTGTAAAAAAAATAAAAGTAAATCCATTATAAATCTGAAATGTTCTACATATAAACCAAGGTCTGGTCCTAGAGCATAAATAGAAAGTAGAACAAACTTTCTATCTCATACACACACACAGACACACACACACAAACACACACATGTCATGACTGCAACAGAGAGCATTTTTACAGAAATTGGCAAATAAAATAAACAAAACTGGCATAAATATTTAAAAAAAATACATTTAAATCAAGGCCTGGTCCTAGAGCATAAACACAAAGTGGAACGAGCTTTCTATCTCACACACACAAACACACACATGTATGCATATGTATGTATCCTGTTCATTACAGTTTATTGGTGCTGTTGTTTTGTATTATATTTGTTTATTTACTTGGTTTATTTAATTTATTTTGTTCTAAAATCTCTTGTTCTAAAAAAATAAATAATTGTTGATAAATAATTTTCTGAAATAAATAGTGTGTGATTACAGTCATGTCATAGTGCTGGCTTGTAATGTTTATGCAAATGTATATATAATAATTTGCAAAAACAAATAATTCAAAATATATCAGACAACAACAAACAACTCTAACTTTGACATATATATTTTGTGAATTGCATAAACTATTTTTATCATATATATCAAGTATATCAAACCGTTTAGACCGGTTTAGACAAATGAGTGAAAATGAATGAGTCTCTATGGACCTCTATTGGACAGATGTGGTCATTGCACTTTAATTTCTTAACTATAAGAAAAACAGTTTTTCGACTAACCACCAGATGGTAGTATTTTATCCCTAACACATAGAGCAATGTCCAAAAACTATTTAGATTTAATTATCATCATCATTAAAGTGATTTTTTTCTTTAAAAAATCATTTTTCATGTGCCAATTTATGGCCTAGTTATGTAATTGTGCAGTAAATATGTAAAAAACCTAAAAATTTCCAAAAAAACACAGCATTATTGTATAGTTGAGGAGTGAATAAAAAAAAATGATATATAGTTTTCCATATAAAAAATGTATATTTCCGTATGCAATCACTCTTTAAAAGTTTGGGGTCAATATGACCCCAAAGACATTTTGTGTTGTCTTTTATTATATAACTCTGATTGTATTCGTCTGAAAGTAGAAAGTCATACACACCTAGGATGACTTGGGGGCGAGTAAGTCATGGGCCCATTTTTATTTTAAATTTTTATTTTAACGGCCATGTTGAAGTAGGCGTTGATCTTCTTCTGCGGGGGTGGTGTTTTATCCTCTTTGTCGTCATAGTTCCCCACTTTGAAAAACGAGTCGTTTGCCTAGCCTGGTGTCAATAAAAACTTTTATTGGACTAACAAGAACGTTTTCAGTTCTGAAACTTACAGGATATTCTTATAATATGATGTCCTTTTAGATGTCAAAAGCTCAAGGAAAATTTGATTTCTCAGTTCATCACCCCTTTAAGCGCTGTAAGTGCTGTGTGTGTGTGTGTTCTGCAGATGAGCTGACCGTGAACGGGCAGTACCAGTGTTTGGTGGAGCTGTCGACCCGGCCGGTGACGGTGTGCCACGGCTCCGGCATGACCAGCAGTAACGCCCACAACGCCGCCGCACACAACGCCCTGCAGTACATCAAGATGGTGGCTAATAAACACTAACAGGACTGCGCGCACATCGAGTCTGAGATGCTGAACTCTGACGTGTGGAGCGACTGACCCGGGCCGTTCTGCTGGAAGAGACACGGCTCTATGCAGAAAATAAATCCATTTCTGGGTCACAACCCTGAGTTTATTTCTGGATGAGGCAAAGTGCTTCATTTACATCCAAATGGTCATTTATTTACACTAAACTTCAAACTGGATTCAGTCCGATGTACTGAATACTGAATAGAAAGTGTTTGCCACTGCATCACACCTGACCATGGTCTTTTTTTTTATTTTTTGCTTAATAAATCCATTGTAAACACCATATTAATAGGTTAACAGTGTGTATCATTCCAAACCCGAAAGACTTTCATTCATCTTCGGAACACAAATGAAGGTATTTTTAATTAAATCTGAGCATTTTCTGTCCACCCACTGACAGCGACGCAACTACCACTTTAACACTTCATAAAGAAATTGTAACTAATCAGCTTTATGCCGAGCGTCACGTGACCAAGCCGGAAAACAGGTCACATCGCTTCCGATTCAGGTCTTTTGTATGTGCTTCATGAAAATTTTTCCGGTTTTACTCAAGATAACTTAAAAGGAGCACGCAAAAATGAGCACAACCAATGTCCCTCGCATGTGCAGATTGATATTTAAAAGTTTTTTAATTTTTCTTCTTCACACTAACGTTTAGATATTTAAACAGCATAAAACACCAATAACAAAGTGAACTTAGTAGGTTAGCTGATTACCTTAAAAATCCATAGATATCGTAGTTAGTTCTTACGGCCGTCAACACTTTCTCTGACAAGCGGATGCAATGAGACCTGTTTTCCGGTTTGGTCACGTGACGCTCGGCATAAAGCCTATTAAAAACTTTAGTGTGAAGCTCAAACGTGCCGCGTAAGGAGAGTGATTCTCATTGGTTCTCGCACATCAAGCGAACATGCTTGAGCTTCTGTTTACCACAACTGATGTGTGAGTTGATGAATGTGTGAGTGAATAAAAGCTTATATTCATCATATAAAGTGATCGAGTCTCTTCAGAAAATGTGGACTAAACCGCTCAATTCATATGAATTAGTTTTACGATCTCTATAAACTTTTTGAAGCATCAAAGTGTCACTTGGTGTCAACGGAGGGACCAAAATCGATTAGATTTCATTGAAAAGATCTCCATTTGTGTTCTGAAGATGAACGAAAGTCTTCCAGGTTTGGACCGACATGAGGGTGAATAAATGAGACTTTTCTTCTTTGTGTGAATTAACCCTTTAAGAAATGCAGTGTTAAAACAGGCAGAATTGGGTCTGATGATCACATGTTCTTCACAGGGTTCCCACGGGTCCTTGAAAATAAACATGCATAGATACAGGTCCTTGAAAGTGCTTGAATTTATTTTGTGAAAGAAGTTTTCTGGGAAAAAAAATCCATATTATTCTCTCCGGTCCGCTAATGTGTTATTTCGCCAACACTTCGTGGCCTATGCACACTAGCTTGCTTGATTTACGTTAGTTACGCGCATTTACACGTTAAGTCCAATGGTTAAGTCAAGTGTTTCCCGCGTAAGGCACTTTGTGTTGTACGTTGCCATGACGTTCACGTGCACACAACACTACTACGATGGTACCTTAGAGGACAACTCCGGCAACCTTTGGTCTAATAACACATTGCATTGGTACCTAGACAACCGTTCTCTGAGATTTGATTTCACAAGATGTAAAGAGTTTTATCTCTAAAAACTGTTTAGCGTATAACGCTAGTATATCGGGCGTAGAGTAATGAAAAATAAAAATCGCTAGTTTATACCACTAACAAGGCTCAAAATAGCCCCACACTAACACAGTAACATAATGAGGGTCCCTACCTTGCAAACCGAAGCATTGAGAACTTTGTAAGTGTACAGATCGTTTAATGAGAAGATATTTTATAAAGGCAGTCCACTTCGCGTATACAGGCAGGAGCCATCTTGGAAAACAGTCTCGACCAATCGAACCACGTTCAGAAGTTCACTGAACTTCATACAGTTCAGCTCACTTGGCACGGCGTTCGTGGTTCGACTTTTTTCCAAAGATGGCTCCTGCCTGTATACGCGAAATGTACTCTTTACATTCGATTAAATCAAATCTCAGAGAACGGTTGACTAGATACCAATGTGTTAATAGACCAAAGGTTCGTTTTTGTGAGTTCTCCTTTAACATTTCACAGACACACAGTAAAACATTGCAAAAATAGGCCGAAACCGCTGAAATGTGATGCTTGGAAAACGCAAGTTTCAAGATATTTGGCTCACCAAAGTAGCCTGCAAACTCTGCTACTTCGCTTTGCTTCATAGACAGAGTCTGGCATGGCATCATTGAAAAGTGTTTTCTTTATCGCGGGGGGGCGCTCGTCTGAAGTATAAAATCATTGGTTACCCGTAAGCCAATCACATAACGTTTGGTTATGACGTGTGTTATGCGCCAGCTCAGCAGCATCGAACTGCCACTGTAAACACATTATAATGCGAAAACGAAACCATCGAGAGAAATACCGGAGTGAACATAGCTGTTCATAGCTGACTTTTGTAGATTATGTGATGTAAATTCATTTCGAGTCTGTCGGAAATGCTGCAACTTAATTGCAAGATTACAGCATGACATGGCAATATTTACGAACTGGGAAAAAAAAGGAGACACTGACCTGTCAAAAGGTTGCCAGTTCGAGCTCGACAGATAAAAGAGACGGGAGACGGGAAAACATCACCTCCATTCAAAATGTTTAACAAACACTCTTCTTGTTCGGGCTTCAGTTTGCAAATGCCGGCATTATTCTCCACAACAGAGTGAATTGCATCCCGCGTCTCCATATCCGCGGTCGTTTTCGATTTCCCTAACCTAAAATACAATCTTAAACTCTGCGCTTAACGTCTACGTCACGGCTCTCAGCCCGCCCTCTGTTCGTTGATTGGCCGGAGGAAAACTGAGAGACATGTCGATGTCTCAGACGCGAACTGAAATTGAGCGGAAGTACGAAGTCTGACGTAGTCAGGCTATCACCAAAGAAGATTACAAAGAATTTTTCTTTTTTTGTCCCTTATTTAAATGGAAAATGATGCGTTCCGTATCAAATCAATCCGGGACGCGATTTGTCCATAGACAGTGGATTTGTCCCGTAACTTACATAGACCCAGGTCCCAGACATTCATTTGGTGGTTAATGCATGTTTGCTTCTTTTTTTCCATAGCAACAGAGCCTAGAGAACATGCTCTGTAAACAGACAAATCCGTGCTTTTAAATATGTTAGGCTATTGGTTTTTTGTTTTTAAATCTGGATAATCTCTTAATATAATATACATTGTCAGAGCTTGGTAGACAGGTAACTATTATATTTGTAGATGTTATTAGACAGATTAATTCATAAATTATAATTAATGTTATTTTATTAATTTATCGTTTATAAATATTAAACATGCAAAATAAATTATGATCCTATCTGTCATACACAATTTATGGCATTTAATTTTTTTTTTTTAAGTGCTAAATTATTTAAATAAAAATGGGACAATAATTACATAATAATGTAGTCATAATTTAAGTAGTAAATAAATACTTAAGGCACGCCAGCATATACTTAAGAGTTATGTAGAAATAAATAAAATAATCAAATGTAAAATAATATGTGTTCTGTTGCAAGTTCACATACTTGATCTCATGTTTTCTCATGTTTTATTGTTGAGCTGTCAAGTTGTCATGTTGACATAATCAGTTCCAGGACCTTGACACATTTTATTTTTTATTTGATTATTATCATTATTTTTTTTATAGGATTAGGATGTACCAAAAATGCTTCGGTTTTATGCAAAACATAAATACGACAAATGGAATATCAGATCTCTGTCATATGGCCAAAAATAAGCCAATGATGGCCAATAATAAAAGCTTTTTTGCCTAGTTGTTTGACAGATGAAAACTGTAACAATGTATCTTACATACACGATGTAACCTTGCTCTCACTTGAAATGTGTCCCCACATTAAGTCCTTGAATTTGAGGGTCTTGGACCTGGAAAGTCCTTGAAAGGTCCTTGAATTTGATGTTAACCAAGGTGTGGGAACCCATATATAAGGGGGAAAATGTGTATATATATCGGTATCAGCCAAAATGAGTTTGAAAATATCGGCATATCGAATATCGGCCAAAATCCTATATCGTGCATCCCTACCAAGTGTCTCACACAATCATAACAGACAGATATGCATTTGTATGCACTAGACTTGGTATGTGTTCAAAGGTTACAAGGAATTTGTAGGATGGTTTGTATTTATTTGTGAAATATTATCTAGGCTCATTTATTTTGCAAAACACAATGCGTGTTACTCCACTGCATTTTCACTCAAGTTGACCTTTTCTCTTGCACATTGCTTGCTTTGTTTACGAGTCGAGTTTTCCTTTGCAAAGCAGATCGAGTTTGTTTGCAAAATGCTGGATTTGTTTGTTTAATTATGGCACAATATTAATTCCATTGAATAGCCCCTATTTCAAAAAACAGTGGTGTGTTCCTGCAAGGGATTAACTTGCAGATTCATTTTAACATAATATATGCCTGTGGTGAAGAGTAACTGAAAAGAGTGTCTCTGATTCTTTTTGTTTGTTTGTTTATTACAGACTACTTCCAAAATCGTGTTTCCTCATCTGAGATGAAGGCAGTTAAAAGAACAAAGTGGAATGATGAGAATAAGCTCTTCAAAAAACACAACTTCTCTGAATAATGTTGTGGAAGATATATGCATGATTTGTAAATAAACACTTTAAATACATTGTCTAACTCTCAGCCGGTTATTTAAAGTAAAAAAAAAAAAGTTAAATCACATTATTTGCTGCATTGCAGTTTGAGACATTCACTGTTTTGTACCTTAATTCATTATGTTGCAAATGTGTGAAAATAAAACTTATTTGGGATATTCTGGTTGTATTTCAATGGTATTGTACAGCATTTTATTAGTATTGCATTTCAGTAGTATTGTACTTTAGTTGTATTATGTATTGCAGTACTACCACAGTTTTATTGCAGTATTATTGCAGTCATAATGTCTTTAGAGGTAATAAAGTTTTAAATCTGCAAGTCATTTTAAATAAATGAAAGGAAAGGCATTTGAGTAAATTACACACTTATCTGTGAGGGGAAAACGGGGGTAGTAGAAAACTTTGGTTCCCTTTCGTTGTCACTCCGAGTTCCATCGGATGACGACGAATGGGGGTTTTGCTTAGAAGGCCTATCGACTTCGAGTATTACAAACGAGCCAATGGCAAAGAAATGGCATGGGTCTGCTGAATTTGCATAGCGT